TAGTTTGACAGAATTTAAAATTTTAAAAATAATAGTAGTTGAGTGTCCAAAATATGAACTGTAATTGGTGGATTTAATTTTTTTACAGTGTTCTCATTACCCAGAATGGATATGAAATATATTCCTTCAGTTAAACGCAATAGCATACTTTTTCGTTTTGTAATCTGTGCTTAGATAAGCTGATATCCATGTGGATATAGAAACATATATTTTTTGACAGTATAAAAAACTAAATTACTTACGACTGAATAGATATTTAGAAGACCTTTCAAATGATGTATTACAACACACTTATTTCCATTTAAAAATGTTATTGATGACGTCATCATGCTTACATAGATGTCAAAAGTAAAAAAATATCCTAACGAAGCGCCTGTTTAAAAATAAAAATCGACGGTTTTCAGGATTTTTCCCGAAAATCACTGGTTTACGAATATTTTTGAATTATTTTGCTGTAAAATTGCCATTAATTTCTTTTTTATTAATTAATATTTTGTAAAATTAAGCACTTAATTAAAAATAATTATCTTTCATTCATTTATTGTGTTCTTAAAAAAAATCAAATGTGTCTATCTGATCTTTAAATGACTTTTATTCAAAAAATTGTTATGAACCTAAGATATTGCAAATATTATGTTTCTGAGTAGGAAATTGCAAGATCTATCAAAAATGGGGTTACTTTTTAAAAAAATTGTCAATGACGTCACTGCCCAAAAATAGGAAGTGGGGGAAACTTGAATTCTATTTGAAAAATTGTGCTTGTAGTAAACAGAATTGGCATGCCCAAACATTTTTATGATTTATTCCTTTAATTTGAACCATACTGTATATAAAAAATCATTTAATTCCGAAGATATTACGTTTTAAAATTTTATTGATCCGCCACCTTAAATTTAATGCTAGCATAAGCATAAACGAACATCTGATTTCAAATCGAGAAGTAAAGATGTAATCTGAACAGCTACATCTCGAATAAACAAACGCAGATGTAAATGTAGTAGATGTGTCCGATGTGGATAAACAAACGCTTGAGATGTAAAAAATGCATCGGATGTGGATATTCAAACGCAGCAATTGTAGTAGAATATTGGCTTTTCCTCAGTTTTTTCTTCTGAAATGCAAAATCCCAATTGCAATTATTGTAGTATAATGTCTGACAAGGATCACTGTTACAGTGCGTAAGCCTCTTCTTGCTCATACAAATGTAGGATTTCGATATTTTTTGGGTATATTATATATACAATAATTGTATGAGGTATAACTTATATCTTTAAAAAGTATTTTTACTAGCTTTTCAAAGATGTAAGACAAGTAAAGGGTCGCTATTTATTTATTTTTTATTGAAATAGTTGTCAAATAGAGGATTGAGGGGGTAAGTTCTGTATTTCGTCATGTAAGTTCCCCTTTCATATTATAGAAATGATTTTAAGCATTTTGTGATATCATTTTTAGTTCATGAGATATAGCCTTTGTAAGTTTTTAAATTATCACCCTATATATCATAAAAAAACAATTGCTTTTTTTCTTTAATTAGTCACAAAAAGGATACGTCAAAACAATTACATTAAAAATGCATTATATACTTCATGGTTCAGGTTATTTTTCTGGCGCTTTATTATCAAACAAAAAACCGACAAATTTACGTAGATCGTTTTTAAGAAGGTAAACAATAAACACATGATAATATAAATGATTTTAAAATTAACAGAAATGTGTAGAGTACACTAAATACCACATTCCAATGCTCTCTGTACTTATTTGAACAAAGTATACTAATAACTAAATAACAAATACGAGGGTATATTTTTATTACATTATTATAATTACAATGTTATAAATGTCATATAGTTCACAGAATCATATTTTTAGAGTAAGCCCTTTGACTATATAATTTTAATTTCATAAACGGAATTTTTTATGACGCTTATGTTGTAGAACATCTACATAATGAAAGTTAATTAACTTTTCCAAGACTATCCCGAAGACTGCTTGGAAAATTTTAATTGTTTAATAATTTAAATTCAAAGAAATATGTGTTTGCATATTTGCAAGATATAGCAACTAATATTTATTAAAACTAATACGGTTAATTTTCTTCTTTTAATACGAAATTTTTAGTTAGAAATTTTCACTGAATTATAAATATTTTTCTCTTAGATAAATGTTAATTTATCCTACCATACAACGTTTAATTTAGGAAAAGAAAATTGGAATATAAAATTTGAAATTCTAGTAAATTTTCAAAATAAGTTAAAATAAATAAAATATACATAGTTCAATGTTTCTCAGTTAATTACATTTTTACTATATTTTTACAGTTTCCTATATTTCTTACAAAATCACCGCACATCTAAACACATTCTTCCGAGAAAGAATTTACCATACTATTTATTTAATTTTCTAAATGCACAATCTACATTTTGTTAATGGCACTTTTTTGTAGCGGTTAACAGCGACATAAAACAGGTGGATATTTTGCATAGTAAAAATAGCGACACAGAATAAATACACATGCAACTAAATTTAGCGCAGCCATTTTGATCAGGTATGATTCTAATTAAATTGGAGAAACAAACTTGGGGGGCGGTAAAAAAACTTGTTTTTGATGTTAAAATACGTAAAAACCTACAATTTATTATTTTTTGTTTAATACATCTATGAATTAGTTTAAACAACAAATCATTGATCATTCATGCATGTACTTTCCCGGTCATCATTAGAATAGATTTGGTTAGGAATGTGGACGATTGTAGCCTCCCACGACGCAAGTACCTGTCAATACCTGTCAATGGTAACTCAGAAGTCTAATGTTCGTTCTAAACCATCGATTATTTACTACGTTCTGAGTGTAAAATATTTAGTAAAATAAAATAGGATCTCGCCTTTCTAAAACATTGTATTTATACATTTATATACCGGCTATAATGTACAATGGCTTTAAATTAAATTAAATATGCACGAATAAAAGCCTACTTGCTGTTGCTCAAACCAAGTCAATAAAAAAGTTCGTACCTTAACCGCTAGAGGTAGTAAGTTCATTTTTGGAATACAAGTGTCAGTTTAGACATTTCCTCTGCCTTTTTGTTCAATTTCGATGTAATATTTATTAAATCTATTTGCTATAATTTTGTCACTTATTTTTTTGTTGAAATTTATTTTAATTTCTTTTAATGACGGTTCACTGAATTTATTATTATTTAAAAAGCTAGGTATTTACTATTTTAATAATAATAATAATGTTTATTTTACTTCATACATATATTTTTTTTTACAAATAAATTCTCTTTTAATGTAAATAAACATGGGTTAGTCCGAAAAAACCGCATAAGGTTGTGCTCGGAAATTACTCCTGTTTATTAGTAGCGCCATAATTGCTGATAAAAATTAATAATTATAACAATAGACTTAAGATTAATAATAATACCAATAGTAATTACAATATTAATAAATGTAAATATGTGCATTAATAATAATAATAATAAATAATATACATGAATAATAATAATTAATTGTACTAGCTGGCAGACTAATGATAAATTAATAATATGAACATGAACATGAACATGAACATGAACATGAACATGAGTATAATAAGAGTAGTTAATATTATTAAATTAAATACTTAATACAAATAAATATAACAATAATAATAATTATAATAATGCGTTCTTAATAAATATTATAATTAGTTAAAAAAATTATATAAAAAGAAAAAGCATTAGAATATAACAAAACACAATTTTCAATTTTCAAGAACATGTAAAAACACACATTGACAGATGAAATGTAGAATTAACAAACGAATTGTAAACTATGACAAAAAAAAAGATGAAAAGCAATGAACAATTTTTGATTACAACAGGAAAGCATGAAAATGATTACACTTATTTGGTCAAATTTGATGTTTTTTTTTTAATTTTTATTTTTTTAGAGATTACTTTAGGTTTAATTTTTATTTAGATGTTTAATTCAATTAAGTCATGAATATTTTGTCGACCAGTATTTATCAAAAAAATTTTGAAGATCTTTTTAATGTAGGATAAGGAATTTATTTTTCTTATATGGATTTTATAGATTTCTGGCAGAAAATTGTATATTTTAGGAGCTAAGAAGGTAAAACATCTTTGTCCTATAGTTTTTTTTTAATAACGGGGTCTTAACAAATAATGACGATTTTTGACGAGTATCATACTTGTGATCAATTTCATGTAATATGATTTCCTTATTTTTATATGTAAAAATTAAAACTGCATGGCAATATAACATATAGACATATGCAATCGACATCAAATTCGATTTGACTTAAGTGAATCTTTAATTCATCTAAATTTTTGTATATACTTCTAATGTTTTGATGGATTAGTTTAAAATTTAATTTTTTGTCATAATCATATTGTTTCATCAAATTGTTCAATTGCAGAATTTCTGAAATTTTTGTTGTATTTACTGGAGAATAATTTATATCACGTATATACGGGTTCATTTTATCAATAAAATTTATTTCTTACAGCTATAACAAAACACATATTAAAAATAAATAATTTAATAAAAAATGAGTATTAGAATACGACACTCAAATAATTTTTGGAAGATAAGTAGTTAAAACCTACGATCTAGTAAGGAGTAGACAAATTGCATAAACACTATTGACAATAATCTTTATTACAATTTTTAATTAGATTTCATTATAGAATATTTTTTTGAGAACTGTGGCTGGTTTGTCTTGTCACTCTTCTATTGAGTCCTTCTTCAGTATCCGAGGGATCAGTATATTTCCGATTATTATTATTATTATTATTATTATTATTATTATTATTATTATTATTACTAATTATAGAATAGAATATGTATGTCCATTAAGAATTTATAAATTGACAAAACAAGCACTTTTGTCTTGTCAGTTTTAATTTTATACATACAATATAATGCAATAATCTTGTTTATTCTGTTCTTTCTTCTCATATTCTTCAGTTGGACTGTCATATTTATTTTAATTCTAGAAAGGCTCGTTAGAAAATCTGTCGTTACACAAAAGGATGGTGGGCAGCGTGCCAGGACTTCTAGATTCGATTTCCTGCAGTTCGAATGCAGACATACCTGCGGCAACGATGGAAGAGGAATCTGCCGTTCCAAATATTCTATCGGAATGCTTTCGACATTTGGAACAGAATGGATTACATACCTTAGGACTGTTTCGAGTCAGTACATCAAAGAAAAGGATAAGACAAGTAAGGTTAATGAATAAACATAATAATAACAACACTAATACTTTATTTCGTACGGGTATGCCACTAAAATTATAAATAAATAATATGTTGATATTATAACCCAAATATATCGTTAAAAAAAGAAGCTAGCAATAGCAAAGAGTGACAATGTTCCTGATTTCCTACTTTTAATTAAATTCTCATTATTTTTCTGCTAAATAAATCTTTTGTGCGAGGTAGCTTTCCGTAACTTATTAAAACAGGTAAAGTGGTTCCTGTCTTAAAAAAAATGATTATAAAAATATAAATAAATAGTAAAGAAGCATTTTTTAAAACAAGCTTTTATTTAAATGCTCTAAAAAGAAGAAAAAGCCATGTCGTAGTGAATAATATAAAATATGGGTGTGCCATATTGAATTTAAAGTGACAGTATTTTATTTTCGTATTCTTCTCAACAAACACTTTCATTTGATACCTATATCATGGGGGTACATAACAAATAACTAGACCGCTATCTTTGAGAGTCCGCCATATTGGATAAGAATGACGTCACTTAGCTAATCATGCATTTTCATCCAAACTAAACGTGCAGGCAAAATTTCATCTCAATCGGTTATAGATAATCGTTTTAAAATTCATTTGAAAGATTTACCACATGCTACATGCATAGTAGTATTTATTTTTTTAATGATCTTTTTAATTTTATGGGGTGCTGTAGTTTATAACTTATATTAAAGATAAGCCAACTAAGCTGTTAATTTCATTTGTCTGTCTTGCCCAGTGGATTTGTTTGACCCTAACGTGAGTATCAGCCAATTTGATATTTTCGTGAATGATTTGCATCAGGGGGTATTTTCTGAAAACAAAAACGTTAACATTTAAAACGTAAGTAGCCCAAATATATAGAGTTAGGTAACGTGAAGATCCTCTTCGTGGTTTAACATAAGTAACGCCAGTGCTTCACAAAACCTAAAGTTCAAATCTCAATACTTCTCCTTGTCTTTGGGTCTTTCGTTTAAAATCAAATCGTGTCTCGTTTGTTTTCTACTAAAGTCCAATTTTGAGCTGCGCCTATTTTTTAACGACTATCTGTACAAATGGCCCTAAGTGGCCTTAGTCTCGATAAGGTGGGAATCACCAATTTAACGTATCTTGAATTCTGATTGATTTTGTTTTGTTTTTCTTGAACCTTTTGTCAAAATAATTAATCAAATACCTAAAATTCATTGTCGCTCCCACACGAGGGCAAGAGGGGCATTTGTCCCCCCTGGATTTGCTGAGGCTTTCGTCTATAACCTGCGGTGTTTTGACTCTGCCTATGAGACTTACCCACTGGAAATTATTGGAACGGCGCCCATGAATGATAGGTTTTGCAGAACATAGATAATATACATGTAGGTGTAGAAAAGTATATTTTACTAACAGAGGGGTCTATTCTATAAAATTTGGTTAAAATTAATCCTGGGATGCAAAAATAACCGGATATTATCTTTAATTTCGTATTCTGTATTATTTAATTAAAATTAAAACATATGTCAGTAATTAATCTAGTAATGATTACATGTCAAATATATTATTTTTCTTATTTTTAATTAATTTCAATTGACTTTAAAGTATATTACATTGTTGCCATGTCTATTTTAAATGGGATTGATTATAAAATAGCTACTAACACACAAATGAATTTGATGGAATATCGAATAGTTATAAATTATCTTTTAACCTGGCAGTTAAAATAATTAGCTAAAACGTCACAGAAAAGACCCCCATTATAATTGCAACGTAATGCTAGAGAGTCGAAATCGAATGTTTCAAATAACACAAAGAGGTAAAATTCCCGTTCGGGATAATGATTATATTACATTTGAAACATGTGTATTTTATACATTGAACGGATTCTAAAGCATCTATTGAATGTTTGAATGTATAGGAAACCAAATAGTGTCAGAATAATTTTCCAAATTATTTGAAGTAGTCGACCAGATACGAACACAGTAGACCAAAATCTACAATGCTAAGTGAACACCTTCCATTTTAATACCGTTTGCATATCGTATTTATCCATACTTCGTATATAAATAATTGTATGTCCGTAATTAAATATACAGATTCTTCAACAATACATTAATAACTTCAATAGTAACTCTAAAACAATGTGACTGATCTAGTTGACAAAACTCTTACTTAAGTCACTAAGCACGTCAGAAATAATTATAGATAAATCATCAATAGCTTGTATAAGAATTGTTTTCCATAATACAATATTTTTAATACAAATCCCGATGCACTTCAGAGATCATTTATGGCGTCACGGCCTTGCAGTGTTGTCTAATCGTCAGAACAATTGAGGAATTTAGAAAGTTTTAAAATTGTAAGGTTATGTATTTGTTTGTAGGAACAATTAGTTTTAAATGTATATAACTAATGGAAAATATTGAAAACTGTAAGGTGGTATATTGCAGATGGATCAAAATTGGTCCAGAATTAGCACATAAAATATAATAATAATAATAAAGGTTTTTATTGACTGTTAATTACAAAGAGACAAATAAAACAATAATTCATGTAGATACATTGATATTTCACAGTCAAAAGGCAGAGTTCAGATTTCTTGGGAGGATTCTGTCGAATCTTCCATAGAATCTGCTCTTCCACTCAACCTAGTAAAATAAAATAAACTAGAATAATAAAATAAACTAAAAATTATAAAATAAACTAAAATAATAAAATAATTACAATATAATTATTAATAAGGAAAAATGTTCACAAAATCAGTTTGGTTAATGAGATAGTTTGTTGGTCCGTCATCAATTATATTAAATTAAAATTTAAATTGAATACTACCATTAAGTAAGCATTCTTTTATTTTTTTCTTGTAGTTAGAAATAGGTAGAGTTTTAAATTTGGTAGGGATGAGATTGTAGATTTTAGCCATATTGTACGAGAAACTGGATCGGAACAGCGCTGTGTTATGTTTTGGCAGTGATATGCTGTCTTTAAATCTAACATTTATGTTGTGAACCTCAGATCTTTTTTTAATTTTTTCGTACAGGTACGTAGGTTTTTTGGTAAGTATAATTTTTTTGAAAAGTAAAGAGGCATGTAGTACGCTTCGGTTATTTAAATTCAACCAGCCAAGTTTCGCAATGTGATGTGAAGTAGAACTACGACGTCTTAGTCCGCAAATAAGTCGTATACATGCATTTTGAATACGCTGAAGACGATTTTTGTTAAATTGCGATAAAGCAGGTCCATAAATTACATCGCCGTAATTTAGTTGAGAAAGAACTAAACCGTCACATAGTAACATCTTAGCCTGCTTATTTAATAAGTGTCTGTGCGAATATACAAGTTTTAAATTTGAGAAAGCTTTTTTTACCACAAAAGATGTATTCTGAGAAAAAGTGAGGGAGTCGTCAATATATAGTCCTAAATTTTTTTCACAGTCTGAAAAAACAATTGGTTTATTATCAATCTGAACAGTAGCAGAATTTTTTACACGATTTTTAGCTAATTTTCGACCAAATAACATAGATTTAGATTTAGTGCCATTAATTGATAGACAGAATTTTGTGGACAATTCTGATAATGTTCTCAAGTCATCATTTATATTATGTGTAGCTTCTTCAATTTCAGATTCTTTAAATTCAAGATAGAGTTGTGTATCATCTGCATAAAAGTGTGATTTCATATATTTAAGGTGTCTATGAAATTGCGAAGTATATAAAGAGAATAAAAGAGGCCCTAGAATAGACCCTTGAGGTACGCCGCGAGTGACTAAAATATCGTTTGAACTTTTTCCGCCTAGAACGACCTTTTGAGTCCGTTGGTCTAGATATGATTTTAGCAGATTTAAGGAAGAACTACTAAATCCTATATAATGACAAATGGATCTAAGCATACTGTGATTGATTTTGTCAAATGCTTTAGAATAGTCTAAGAGTACTAATATGCAAAGCTTGTTAGTATCAATTGCATAATAAATATCATCTAAAACCTTAAGTAGTGCAGTAGTACAGCTGTGATTTGGGCGAAATCCTGACTGATTTATAGGTAATATATCAAATTGGGAGATGTGCAGTCTTATTTGTTCTCCCATTATTTTTTCTAATACTTTGGACAGTGTACAAAGAATGCTTATAGGTCTTAGTTGGCTATATTCCGATGGATTGTCTGTTTTTGGAAGAGGTATTACTCGAGATTTTTTCCATAGCGAAGGAAATATAGAATTACTAAGGCAGAAGTTAAAAATGTGAGTGAGGTATTGAAGTATAAGAGGACAGCAGTGCAATAGCATGGTAATATTTATCTCGTCCGGACCGGTGGCATTGGATTTTATGGAGAGCAGTTTTTCATAGACTTTCAATTCCTGTACAGTTTTAAAATTAAATGTGTCAACATTTACGACAGTCGATGTGCTATAATTCTCCAGGATATTTGGGTCTGGCGAATCACTGCCTCCAATACCATTAATAAAATAATTGTTGATCGTGTCAGGATTTTGCAGGTGGGAAGGAATATTCAAAGGCAATTTTTTATTATTGTGAATTATATCTAAATGTTTTAATTCTTTCCAAATGTTATTTTTACTTCGCAGTCTGAATTCTAAGTAAGCTCTTTTTTCTCGTTTAATTGCGTAATTGACCTCGTTACGTAATGTCTTATAATAGTCCCAGTGATGTGGGTTTTTAAATTTATTGAATTTTTGTAAAGCTTTATCCCTCAATTTCATCATACATTTTAGAGTATCGGTAAGCCAGGGTGATTTTATTTTGCTTATTTTGATAATTCTTTTGGGAGCATGTTTTTCAAACAAATTTAAAATTAAAAAATTTAATGTTTCAATTTTTAAATCAATATTATCGGCTAGTATTATTTTATTAAAATCCGCATTTTGTAGATCCTGAAGGAAGTCAGCGACTTGAAAGCGTTTAAAGTCTCGGAATGTATACAAAAATGGTTCAGGTTTATTAATTTGGCATCCAATAGTGCATGAAGGAATTGAGTGATCTGATAAAATA